TTTTTTTTTTTTTTTTTTTTTTGCGTTATATCTACTGCCATTGTTATTTCAACATGACCATAATTTCAAACTTATTCCAAAGTCATGTTATTTTTTCACAAGCTCAAACAAGTATCCTGCAGTGTTGGGTCCGTGCTCAGCACGGGCATCCCTGTCTAGTTAATGTTAAGAAACGAGAGGAGCCTACCAACAAAGAAGTTGTTCAATCGTCAAAAAAAAGTTACTGAGGAAAAAAGTGAGGCAACTAGTTCTATGGTAAATGGGAATAAAAATGGTAAAGTTAAAGCCAATAAGAAGCAGGGTCATGGGAACCAACAAAGAGCTGAGATAGCACAAGCTAACACTAACAATGTGACTATATTTTCAGCAAGACCTACAGTTACAGAGAGATTAAGCAAGAGGAAGCAAAAAAAAAAAAAAAAAAAAAAAAAGTGAAGAAAATGCCAAAAAAAAAAAATAAAAAAATAGCAAAGTAATATTCAAACCAGTTCAACTACATGAAAATAGTAAAAGAAGGTAGCAAAAGCCATCAAGTATATTCAAAGTGAACAGTCCCTATGAGAGATCAAAGAGAGTATCCAAAGTTAGAGTGATCAGGGAAAACAGAGTCACCAACAGCAGGTACAAACAATTATATAAATAATAAACCTACTGCAGATATTGTAGAAGCTCCAAACATTTCTAAAGAAGATACAAGGCATGATAAGGGTAAGTTCAGGGGATATTGACAAAACCACAAGGGTTGATCAAGAACATCAGCTAGAATTTAAGGGTGCTAATATGGTCATTGATAGCTCTAGTTCATCCATTTTACCATCGGATATTATTAATCAACACGGACTGAATTTGTTTGTTGAACTGAATATTCCCAAATTTATCTATCTGACTAAGAATGATGATGAGGTTACTAGTGATCTTCTTAGACAGACAACTTCTAAATACCGCAAAGAAATAAAATCAAATACTCAGGATACTAACAAAAGTCTTCTAAGACAAGATGAACAACAAATATCAAACAGGTACCACCGAGGAAGGAGAAAGAATGCAAACTAGGTAAATGAAAGAAGGCACATGAACAAAGTTGCTCCTTTACAGAAAAGGAAACAACAAGAGGATCTATCCCCAACTAATTCTAATGATTAGTACATTTTTTTTGAACATTAGAGGGATGAGATAAAAAAATCTATTCATAGGCTTAAACACTTGATCAACATAAACAAGACACAATTTGTGGCTATCTTTGAGCCTTTTGTGAATAATGAAAAGCTTGATGGTTACAGAAAGTTTCTTGTATTTCAACATTGTATCTCCAACTGCAATGGTCAAATTTGGTGCTTCTGGAACATCAACTGTCACTCTGTATTGATAGTTGAGGATGAGCAACATATTACCATAAAGTTTGAAGATGGTATTAACAACCACATTTCTTATATTTCAGCAGTTTATGCAAAATGCACTTCAACTGAAAGAAAAGACCTTTGAGATAGTCTTGAACAAAACAATCTTAACGTTGATGGTCCTTGGTGTATTGGAGGAGACTTCAATGTCATTACCAATTCATATGAAAAGCTAGGAGGAAGGCCTCATAGGGTTCATAGAAGCTTGGATTTTATTAACTACATGGACAATTGTGGAGTGACTGATGTTGGTTTTTCTGGTTCTAAGTTTACATGGTACAATAATAGAAGGCCTAGCAAGAGAATTTGGAAAAGACTTGATAGGATTTTTATTAATGAGATGTAGGCTTAGAAGTTCCAGACCACTATTGTGAGACACTTGGTGAGAACTGGCTCTGATTATAGGTCGTTACTCATAAAGTGCTTTAACACTAACCAAAACAACGTCAGTTACTTCGAGTTTCTTAATTTATGGGTTAATCAAGAGGGATTCCTAGACAATTTTAAAGAAATCTGGGAGTCCAGTATAGTTGGCTATCACATATGGATCTTACAATCTAAATTGAAGCTTCTTAGCAGGAAATTGATCCAGTGGTCTAGAGAAGAGATTAGGGACATCAATGATCTGATTATAAAATGGGAGGGAAAAGTCCAAATATTTGAGGATATGGATGTTGTTACCATCTCTGATAACAATAGGGAAGAATCGAATAAAGCATATGCTGAATATATTAAATGGTTGAGTATGCAAGAGTCTCTCCTTAAACAGAAAACTCAAACTAGATGGTTTGACGAGGGAGATATCAATACCAGGCACTTCCATAGCCTTCTTAGGGAAAGGAGAAGGAAACAGCAGTTGAACATGATTAAGAACCATAGAGGGAAATGGATTAAGAAAGAGAAGAAAGATATAACTTCTCTGAATTATGGATAGAGTTAGTCCAGAACTGTATCTCTTGGGTTTGGTACTCTATAATTATTAATGGCTCTAGAAATGGCTTCACTTCTTCTCAACGGTTAAAGCAAGGGGATCCTTTTTTTCCCTCTCTTTTTATTGTTGCGGCTGAATTTTTATCTAGATCCCTAAATAATCTCAATCGGAACAACAACTTCATTCCTTTCTCTATACCTTCTAGAGGTCCTACTATTAATCATCTAGCTTATGCTGCTGATGATGTTATCTTTAGCAGTGGAAGTAGCATTTCTATTAAAATGATCATGAAGGTGATAATGGATTATGAGGAGAGCTATGGTCAGCTTGTTAATAGGGATAAGAGCTTCTTCCTAACTATAACGACCCAGCCGGTCGTTTCATGATTCACAACCCCGTTTTCCCCATTTCTAGTTCTTTATGTGTTGTACAACTATATTTTATCGTATCGTATTGGTTGGTTTAGGTTCGGAGTGGTCTTGGAGTGGAATGAGACACTTAGTCTCTAATTTAGGAGCTTAATTAGAAAAGTCAAGTGGATGTTGACTTATGCGTATAAGGTCTTGGATGTGAATTCTAATGGTTCGGATAGCTCCGTTAGGCGATTTTGGACTTAGGAGCATGTTTGGAATGTAATTTGGAGATCTATGGTAGAATTAGACTTGAATGGGTGAAATTGGAAATTTGGATTTTTCGGTCGGCAGTGAAAATCTTGATATCGGGGTCAGAATGGAATACCAGAAATTGGAGTAGGTCCGTAGTGTCATTTATGATGTGTGTGCAAAATTTCAGGTCATTCAGAGATGATTTGATAGGTTTTGGCGTCGTTTGTGGAATTTGAAAGTTTCTAAATTCTTAGGCTTGAATCCTAAGATGATTTGGTGTTTTGATGTTGTTTGGAGTGATTTGAAGATTCGACTAAGTTTGAATGATATTATTTGGTTGAGGTCCTGCGGGCCTCGGGTGTATTTCGGATGCTCAACGGGTCATTTTTGGACTTGAAAGGTTAGCAGATTTTACTGGTATTTCTGTTGCAGAAGATCCTTCTTTGTGATCGCGTAGAGCATTTTTTGGGAACAGTCAAGTTGTCCATCACGTTCGCGGAGTAAGGGGTGTGATCGCGTAGGTTGGTCATGTGAAACATCACGAACGCGTGGGTTGAGTCGCGTTCGTGTAGGGTTATGTGGATCAAAGTTGGGGCCACGCATTTGTTCATTGCGAACGCGATCAGTTGTCCGTGATCGCGTAGGAGAGAGAGAGGCAGAGCATCGCGTTCGCGTGGTGATTAACGTGTTCGCATAGAGCTAATTCAGGAGCCAGCAAAGTTGTTCTTCGCGATCACGAGGGTGTTTCCGCGATCGCGATTAAGGAAGCACCTGGGCAGAATGTTTAAGTTCGAAAATGAGGGTTTTGGCCCATAATTTCAAAATTCATTAGAGAGCTCGGAAGAAGGCGATTTTGGAGGGAATTTTCATAGCAGTGATTGGGGTAAGTTTTCTTCACTCAAATTTAGTTAAATTCCATGATTATGTCTTGATTTTTATCATTTAATTTGGGAATTTGGGTTGAAAATTGGGGAAAATAGAAGAAAATTTGGAGAGTTAATTTTGGGATTTGGATGGTGGCCATTTGTTGTCAGATTTTGGTGAATTTGATATGGGTAGACTCATGAGCGAATGGGTTTTCTAGTTTTGTGATTTTTATCGGATTCTGAGACGTGGGACCGGGGGCCAGGTTTGAGCCAAATTTGGGATTTTTGTTCTAAATTGATAATTTTCGTATGAGTTTCATTCCTTTAGCGTATATTGATGATAATATACTATTTTTGGTTAGATTCGGAGCATTTTGAGGCCAAATCGAGAGGCAAGGGCATCGCGGGCTAGAGTTTTGGCTTGGTTTGAGGTAAGTAACGTTTCCAAACTTGGTAGAACTTGTTTGTGTGTTTAGAAGGGGTCTCAGGGGCCTCAGGTGTGATTCGAACGAGTTTCAGATGTTTTGCATAGTTTTGAGCGTGTTTGATTTTTGGTATTTTCGCACCTGCGACCTTGGAGCGTAGGTGCGGCTCCGCTTCTGCGTGCGTCTGATCGCATCTGTGATCTTTGAGGCCCAGAAGCTAGCTCTCTTCTGCGAGTGCTGGAACGCAGGTGCGTAACCGCTTCTGCGGTTGATGCATCGCATCTGCGAAGGAGCCCCGCTTATGCTCTCCTATTATCACTTCTGCGGCGCCGCTGATGCGGCTAATTATCTGCAGATGCGGAAGACCTGGCAGAATCATATAAATCGATGGTTGGCCATTTTCTTCATATTTTGAGTTCTAAACTTCGGATTTGGGAGCTTCTTTTGGGGTTTTTCAAGCAAATCGATTGGGTAAGTATTCTTCACCTAGAATCTAACATATCCCATGAATCTATCTTCATTTTTATCTTTTAATTTGTGTTTTGGGTTAAGGGAAATGTGGGTTTTTGAAGAAATTTCCTAAAATGAAAAATCATGATTTGAGGGACCAAATGGTATCGAAATTTGATAATTTTGTTTGGTTGAACTCATATTGGGATGGATTTTCTGTCACGACCCTAAAATCGACCTGGTCGTGATGGCGCCTATTGTGAAACTAGGCCAGACAACACAACTCCTGAATTAACCATTAATCAATAAAAATCATATTTTTAAGCCTTTAATTAATCAAATATCTCATAATGTAAGTCTAAATAAACAGTGCGGAATAAATATACAAGCCCGACCTCGGGGTGTCACAAGTCACGAGCATCTCCTAAGGTCTGAAAATATACTAAAAACAATCTAAGGAATACAAGAGGGAGACGAGCAGGGCTGCGAACGTCGGGCAACTACCTTGCTAACTCCAATGACTCTGCCACTGAGCAATCAACACCCGCTACCGGGTTCAGAAATACCTGAATCTGCACACAAGGTACAGGGAGTAATGTGAGTACGCCAACTCGGTAAGTAATAAAAGTAAATGAAAGTTGAGCAGTAAGAAAACACGTAAGCCACGTCATAATGCTACAGCAAATGCAGTACATTTCCAAAACAATACAGAAATCATTTACTTCGTAAATCAAGCTCAGTTTCAGTAAAACCTTTTAAAACAACTTTCAATAGTTTTAAACGAGTGATGAAAATAGTGAGTAAAGAATAGAAATGTAAACAGCCCATCGGGCAAAACATGTAACATAAACCGCCCCTCGAGCATAATATCAACAAACCAGCCTATCGGGCTACCTCACAATCACTCGTAATTAGCCCATCGGGCATAACATGAATCAAGAATCGCCCCTCGGGCAAAACATGGATCAAGAACAGCCCCTCAGGCTATATCATATCACTCACACTAGGTACCCGCGCTCACTAGGGGTGTACAGACTCCTGGAGGGGCTTCTACAGCCCAAGCTCTATAACAAGCCATCTCGTGGCATAATCAAACTAGCCCTCGGCCTCAAAACAAGCCACCTCGTGGCGTAACAAATCAGGCCATCGGCCTCAAAATCATGAATCAGTACCACACTGCTGCGGCGCGCAGCCCGATCCCATAATATCCTCACAACACAGGCCCTCGGCCTCACTCAGTCAGAAAAAAAGTAGAATGCAACATGACTGAGTACAAATATGAAGTCAAAACAGTGAGGAATAGTAGTAAAAATCCCCGGAGGGTCCAAAATAGTTGGCACGAGGCCCAAATATGGCATTCAACCCAAAACATGGTAATAATTTCCAAAACACAATGATATCAAACAAGTTTTAATCAAATATGCGACTTAACAGTCATACGGGACGGACTAAGTCACAATTCCCAACGGTGCACGACCCCATGCTTGTCATCTAGCGTGTGCGTCATATCAAAGTAGCACAACGATGTGAAATCTGGGGTTTCATACCCTCAGGACAAACATTTACAATCATTACTTACATCAATCTGGTCCAAACTCTAGCTCGCGATGCCTTTGCCTTACGACTCGGCCTCCGAATGCTCCAAATCTAACCAAAACCAGATTCATACCGTCAAAATATTCTAAGGGAACAAAGCCCACTCGAAAATAATCAATTTACACCAAAAATTCCGAAATTGGCCAAACCCGACCCCCGAGCCTACGTCTCGAAATTTGATAAAAAACACAAAACTAGAATTCTTATTCTCTCACGAGTATACCCATATCAAATTCATCAAAATTCGACCTCAATTGCTCATTCAAATCCCTAAAAGAATTCTCAAACTTTTCTTCCATTTTCCCCTAATTTCCACTCTAATTTCTCAAATTAAAGGATGAAATTCAAGACTAAATCATAGAATTAAACCAAATATGAGTGAAGAATACTTAACCCAATTGTTCCACTGAAAATCTCCTCAAACTTCACCTTCTCCCGAGCTCTCTAATGGTTTTTGTGATATTGGACTTAAACCCTCGATTTCCAAATATATCTACCTGCCCAGATATTTTCTTCATCGCGAATGCGGCAGCACCCTCGCGTTCGCGAAGCACAAAGATTCATTGACCAAAATTCCTTCTACGCGAACACGAGGTCCCTCTCGCGAATGCGATGCACAACTGAATCACCTCTTAGCGAACACGTAGGACAAATGCCTTGGGGTCCCAGCTATTCCACTTCCTCTATGCTAACACGATACCAATCACGCGTTCGCGATGCACCAATGTACAGACCTTCGTGATCGCGGATCCTACTTCACGAACGCGAAGCACTAATCCTTTCTTGCCTCCAGTTCCCCTTCGCAAACGCAAAACTCCCCTCGCGAACGCGAAGAAGGGAAACCAGCAACTGAACACCAGATTTTTTTGCAATTCCAACAAGTCCAAAACTAGTCCGTTAACCATCCAAAAATCACCTGAGGCCCTCGGGACCTCAACCAAATATGCCAACATATCTCATAACATCATTCAAACTTGTTCCAACCTCCGGAACACTCAAAACAACATCAAATCATTATAGGATTCAAGCCTATGAATTCCAAAAACTTCCAAATTCCGAATTCGATCAAAAAGTCTATCAAACCTCGTCTGAATGACCCGAAATTTTGCACACACATCAAAAATGACACAACGGATCTACTCCGATTTCCGTAATTTCATTCCGACCCCTATATCAAAATCTCACCTATCAACCGGAAAACGCCAAAATTCCAATTTCGCTAATTCAAGCCTAAATCTACCATGGACCTCCAAAATACATTTTGGATGCACTCGCAAGTCCAAAATCACCTAACAGAGCTAATAAAATCATAAAAATCCAAATCCGAGATCAAATACTAAAAAGTCAAAACTTGGTCAAACCTTTCAAATTTTAAGCTTCAAACTGAGAATTATTCTTCCAAATCCATTCCGATTACCCTGAAAACCAAAATCGATGATTTATATAAGTCATAATACATCATACGGGGTTAGTCGTGCTTGAGAATTGGCGAGCAAAATGAAAATCTCAAAATGACCGGGCGGGTCGTTACATATTCGGATTTTGTAAAATTTGTCGGGTTATGAGATGCAGGTCCAGGGGTCGACTTTTGGACCGATTTTTGGATTTTGTTAAAATTTGAGATTTTATGATCCGGAATAGTTTCTTATGTACTTTGTTTGTGCTTTGAAGTTAATTTGGTTAGATTTGAGCCGTCCGGAGGTCTTTTCACCCGAGAAGTGCATTTTTGAGTATCGATGTGTCGTCTTTGAGGTAAGTATCTCGCCTAACCTTATGTGGGGGACTTTCCCTTAGGATTTGAGTCTTTTGTGTTGATTGTAGTTCGTGTACACGAGGTGACGAGTGCGTACTCGGACTTATTTGTGGGGAATTGGCCTTTTAGGGTTCTTAGGTTCTTATATTTACTATGTATGGAGTTATTGTTGATATGACAGAGTTCCTGCTTATTAGTTTCGTCTGTACATGCTTAATTAGAATTAATTGCTTCATGATTCACTCTTATTTCCTAATTGTCATTCTATTTGATTAATTGAAAAATTTAGTCTCTCTTATTGTCATGCTACCTTTTCATAACTGCTTGTGCTATTGAGATTTATTATCATCCCTCCTATAATCGCCTAGTCTTAAGTGAAGCTAAGATCACCTTTCCTTAATTGAATTGTCGAATATTCTCGTAACTTCCCAACCATAAAAGGAGTTTAGATAGCCTATATTTTTGTTGACTTGCCTTTATTTGGGACTACTAGACTCGTGTTGATTTTCTTGTTATTGACTTTTATATTGTGGGATCGTTACTACATGTTAGTTTTCCCTTTCGTTGAATTGTTCCTTTTATGCCTTTCATTTTCTTACTGTGGTTATTCTTGTGAACTGGTTATACCGTTTCCTTGTGATTTGAAGTTTTGGAGTGGATTCACTCGCTGTATTTTGTATTACTATCATGGTTGTTGTTGTGGGGTTGCATGAAGTTTCTGTCGTGCTATTGTTATTATTGATATATTGCACATGCGGCGTGACAAGGCGGGATATGTATATATGCTTATATGTGGGTTGCACATGTGGCGAGACAAGGTGGGAACATTATGATGCACGTATGGCAAAACAAGGCGGACACTTATTATGTTATTATTTGCACACGTGGCGAGACAAGGTGGGCCATGTCAGGGATTGATTGTGATGATTTGTGATGGCCTGTGGTCATTCTTGCTGTTTGATATTGTGTTGTGGTACACTTACTTGTATGAGTTTTATCTCGTGGAAGTTGTGAAAAAACTTCTCACGTGCTATCCGTTCTTTTCCTTATGCTTATTAGCTTGTAGGAACTATGTTAGAGAACTTACACAAGCATAAATGTAGTTGAACACTCCCTTTGGATATGAAGTTCCCCTGATATTGCTGAGTATAAATGTACACCCTTGTTTACTTGTCATATATGTGAGAGTAGTTCTAGTTAGCAAGTGGCGAGACCATGAGGTGTGATGGGGGCACAGGATGCCAAGTGTTAGGGTTCAGGTATTGGGACCCGTGAGCTGTAAGTTTGTTCGAGGATCGGTACTTCGTGGAGTTTGTTGGCTAAGACCTGATGTGAACGCTGTCGTAGGTCCTGAGTTATTGCTTACCTTTGCTGCATTTGTGATTTAGGATTTGGGTTTGTGATTTCGCTCGCTCTTCTATGTTATTATTATGGTATTTCTGTTGTTACTTGTTTTCTTCTTCCCTTATTGTGATTGTTGTATTGTTAGCTATATTGTGTAGTCTTTATATATACATCATGTTTCGTTGCTCCTATGCTTATATTTGTACAGTTTATTAGACCGGTAGGTGTCTTGACTATTCCTCGTCACTACTCCACCGAGGTTAGTCTTAATACTTACTAGGCACCGCCGTGGTGTGCTCATGCTACTCTTCTGCACATTTTTGTTGTGAAGATTCCAGGTATCAATCGTTAGTAGCTGTGTGGATCATTGCTGAGGAGACTCAAGGAAAACCTGTTGTTGCGTTCGCAGGCTTCGGAGTCACCTTCTTACTTGTATTCAACCGTTTTCACTCTTTTCCAAACAGTTTATATAGAAGTGGTAGTTAACTCTCTAGATCTTATGATTTGTACTACCGGATTTTGGAAATATGTTCACTGTATAAAGGATTCATTCTAGAAAAAAAATTGATATTATTTATTATTGTTGTTCTTCCGTAAATATTAGGTTTACCTAGTCCTGAAGACTAGGTGCCGTCACGAAACCCAACGGGGTGGTAATTGGGTCATGACACATCTGCTAGACTATTTGGAAAGAAAGATGCTCATATAAATATGGCAACCAAAAAAAGTTTAACTTATTCAAAATGGGCCAACAAGTTTGATGGATAGTTGGAGCAGCTATATTCAAAGCCTTTCCAAACTGCAAACTCTCTCTTCCCTGGAATAATCTCTATGACAATCTATTAAAGCTACATCCTATCCCAAGGATCACCATAGTTCTCTGGAACAAACCTGGAGTAGGCACTTTCAAGCTAAATACTGATGGCAGCTTCCTAAAGTCGAATAACATGGTTGGAATGGGAGGGATTCTAAGGAATGATGATGGTGACATAGTTATGGCTTTCTCATTCCCTACTCAGTGCAGTAGCAACAACTATGTAGAAGCTCAGGCAGCTTGGTTTGGAGTAAATTGGTGTATTGAACATGGTTACACAAATTTTACTCTAGAATTAGACTCCATGATTGTGACTAATATGCTGAAGGAGAAGAGAGCTTATAACTACAAGATGAACAATATTATAGAGTACACTTCTCAGATGTTGGAGCAGGCTAATGTTGATAGTATACATTGCTATAGGGAGGCTTATCAAGTTGCGGATTCCCTTGCTAAACTTGCTGCTACATCAACAGAGGAATTCTATTACTTCTCCTTCCAACAGCTTCCAAAAAATGTCAAAGGACCATATCAATTAAACAAATACCAAATGCCTAGTATCGGAACTAAGTATGATAAGGCAAATTTTTTGGTTAGTTAGGATCTTTATTTTGGACTGGGTAAGAGATGTACAAAATCCCCCTTCCCGGTTTTCTGAAGGATAACTTTTTATCCTTGTTAAACCAGTAAAAGAAGATTAGAAATTGAGGTTCGTTAACGGAGGTTGAAGGTTTTCTAGAAAGTTCTTCATCACAGAAACATATAGGAAAGAGATGATGAAAATAACCGGCCAACTTTTAACAGTTGTGGCCTCCTTGTATTTATAATCTGTCCATACAATGTAAAAAATGGCTAATTACTAAATAAATAACCACTATGCTATGTTAATAGAATAAAGGCTAACTAGTACAAAAGGCTACAAAAGGCTAAGTATAAAATAAATATTTGGGCCAACTTAAGTATGCTACTTTGGGCCTGAAGTAGTGCAAGCTGGAGCCCAACACCCCCCTTCAAGTTGGAGAGGGAAACAACCTTCAACTTGCCAAGAAAGGAGTGATGGAGGACACCTGTTAGTGGCTTGGTGAATACATCTGCCAGCTGCTCAGAGGTAGGAACATGTGACAACTGGATGAACCCTTCAGTCAACTTACTCCGGATGAAGTGACAGTCCACTTCAATATGTTTAGTGCGCTCGTGGAAGATAGGATTTTTGGCAATGTGAATGGCTGCCATATTGTCACAAAAAATAGAAATGGGGAAGGAAACATCAATAGTAAGATCATGCAACAACCTGGACAGCCAAACCAATTCAGCAACAGCCTTACTAATAGCCCTATACTCAGCTTCAGCAGAAGAAAGAGAAATCACAGGCTGTTTCTTCGATTTCCAGCCAATAAGGCTATCACCCAAGAAAATACAAAAACCAGAAACAGATTTGCGAATGTCAGGGCAAGCAGCCCAATCACTGTCAGAATAAGCCTTGATAGAGAAATCATTAGAGTTAAAGTAAAAAAGACCAAGGTCAGGAGTACCCTTGAGGTACCTTAGCAAATGAAGAGCAGCAATCATGTGAGGAACCCAGGGAGTCTGCATAAACTGGCTCAGATGTTGGACACTAAAGCAAATATCAGGTCGGGTGCGAGTCAAGAACAATAGCTTCCCCACAAGGCTTCTGTACTTCTCAGGACTAGGAAGGAGATCCCCAACATCAGCCTTAAGCTTCTGGTTCAAATCCAATGGGCTAACAACAGAATAAACATCCATGCAATCATACTCTTTAAGTAAATCAGAAGTGAACTTCCTCTGATTTAATACAACTCCATCAGGTAAGGCATTGACCTCAATACCCAAAACATAATGAAGAGAGCCCAAGTCTTTTATCTTAAACTCAGAATCTAGAAAGTGTTTCAAAGCTGAAATCTCATGTAAATCATCACCAGTAAGGATGATATCATCAACATAACATCTAGGATGACAAGATGACCTGGGGACCCTTTGATAAAAAGAGAGTAATCATTGAGTGAATGATGAAAACCTTTAGAATATAAAGCTTGAGACAATTTGGCATACCATTGCCTCAAAGCTTGTCTAAGACCATAAAGGGACTTTTTCAATTTGCAAGCCAAAGGAGCAGAAGAAGAAGGAGATGAAACAGAAAGGCCAGGAGGTAATTTCATATAGACCTCCTCATCTAACTCACCATGAAGAAATGCATTGTTAACATCAAGCTGAAATAAAGACCAATTCTTCTTAATAGCAACAACAATCAAACACTTGACAATAGACATCTTCACTACAGGAGAGAATGTCTCATTGAAATCCACCCCCTCAACCTGAGTGTCCCCTCTAATAACAAGTCTAGCCTTGTATCTTTGTACTTCATCATTACCTTTGTATTTTAATTTTATAAATCCACTTGCAGCCAATAGGCTTCTTACCTAGGGGTAACTCAACTATATCCCAAGTGTTATTGGTTTCTAGGGATTCAAACTCTTTTCTCATAGCTTTCTGCCAAGCTGGAATAGGGGCTGCCTGAGAATAAATATATGGCTCAAACTCTACAGGATGGACAACAGAACAGGAAAGGGAATTAGGTAGTTTATAAAGATAGTCCTTTAGATAAGAGGGATGGGTATGTGTTCTAGCAGATTTTCTGAGTGGTGCAACAGATGTGGAAGGAGAAGAAGTAGATGGAATAGAGTCAAATAGAGCATCAGTAATGTGAGGAGAAGGTGAAACATCAGAAGATGAAGCATCACAAGGTGAATGGTGGTTGTCAGAAGCATTAGGGAAGGATGGA